TGCGGCGCATTCCCCTTTGGATGAGTGCCGCCTCCCCACTTCGCTGCAGACGGCCAGGATTCGGGCCCCTCCGTGGCCTTCCGCGCTGCTGGTGCCATCGCGGCTTTACTTTGCAGCTCCTCGCTGCCCCATTCTTGGACTCATACCGGCTCCGCAACGCCGATGATACGGCAGGGTCGTCGCCACGCGCTAGCCGAGACGGCGTCGACAATGTCGGCCGCAGCACGGTTCGCATCGCGGCGTTTTCCACGTCGTCAGCGCGCGCCTGCATGAGCGCTGTCAGGCCAGCCAACGCAACGTCGGGCAGCGCGACTTCGAGTGCAACATAGTTGAGCATCCTCCCCCGTGCCTGCCGCTTTGGCCCCAGCGTTTCGCGGCGGACTCGGCTACCCCCCCGTGCGCCGATCCCAGGTAGACCACCAGCATGGTTCAAGAACAAGCCGGTTTTCCTACACCCCTGAGGCCGTTAGCTGCACCTTACCAGAGTACCAGGTCTTCCCTGTCGCCGCCCTGTCCCTGTCGCCGGCACCCCACCAGAGACTCAGCACTCCACAGGAGACGCTACCCACGTCGCCCTGCGGCCTGTATCCACACCCCGGCCAGGCGACGGTGTGGTTCAGATGAAAGGCAATTCCCCTCTTCCTACGACTATCAACTGCCACCCAGCTGATCGTTGACCTCACACTGGCGAAGCTATTATCACCCCCAGCTTCCTGCAGCGGTTTGCTTCCACTCCACGTTGCTCTTGGTCGTGCACGGCAATCGGCTACCCCCCCCGACAGCCGCCCCCAGTCCAACCTCCAGTATGTCTCAGGCGATCGCATATTTTCCCACCTTTCTGCGGCTGCTAGCTGCACCCTACCAGAGCACCAGCCATTCCCACGCAGTGTTATCGCGCGCTTTCTCCTCGCTCTTGGCAGTGGGCGACTTTCGGCCCCCCCCCCGCTTGCCGGCCCCAAGCCAGTTTCCAGTTTGTCTCAGACGAAAACGCCTAGCCTCCCGCGGCTGTTAGCTGCACCCTACCAGAGAATCAGCACACCGCTGGCGAAACTACTCCCCGTCGCCCTGCGGCTGCTATCCACGTTCTGCCCGTGCAACGGGTCGTCTCAGGTGGGCTATCTCCCCCCTTTACTGGCGGCGATCTGCTACAACCCAGCAGAGCGTCTACACCATCCTGGCGAAGCTATTACTCTTCCGCCCCGCGACGAACAGCTACCCCCCAAGCTGCCGCCCCCAGTCCAATTGACCTCCAGCATGTCTCAGGCGTCAGTATTTTCTCACTTTTCTGCGGTTGTTAGCTGCACCCTACCAGAGCACTGGGCATTCTCACGCAGTGCCATCGCGTACTTCTCCCCCTGCTCCTGGCATTGGACGGCCCACGGCTACCCCCCCGTTCGCCGCTCTAGGTTGGTCGCCAGTTTGCCCCAGGCGAGAATATCTTCTCCCTCATGCCCGCGATTGTTTGCTGCACGCAACCACAACACTGGGCTTTCTTATGCGCCACACTGGCGCGCGACTTCCCTTTTCCCGCGGCTGTCAGCCGCGCCCCTCCCCAAGCAGCAGCAGGTCTTAGGCGGTGCAACCCCCCGCCCTGAGGCTGCTTGCCCGGCGGGCCAGGGCTGGCCACCCTGCCCGGCTGGCCCGGTCGCTCCTCGTGTCCGTCGGCGCGCGCCCCACTGCGCGCAGCGCCGTCGAGGCGTGCCGCGCGCTGCCCCTTAGCTCCCCCCGTGGGCCGTGGATGGCGGCGACCCTGCGGCTAGACTACACGGCCCTGGAGACGGCCTGCCTGATGGATGTCTGCGCGTTTCACGTTTTCGCTGTTCTGGTGCCGGTGGCCACCCTTCGACAACTCAGCCGCGCGCGTCGGGCTGGGCACTCCGCTCTTCACTACAAGTTCTGGTTGTTCGACAAGGGCGCGCGGCTAATACTCGGCCTGAGCTTGAGCTGCGGTTACTTATTTTCTTTCCTGTCTTCTTTCTCATTCGCTTCTTTTGTCCTTCTCCTGCCGTTTATGATCCTCCTGTTCGTCCCGCTCTCTTTTCGCGTGTCTCTCGTTCGTTTCGCTTTCGTTGCGTAGTTCTCGCCACCGTTATGGCCCTTGTCCGCGCGATCCCTGTGTCTGGCCTGCGGTTTTGCGACCAGTTTGACGGCGCGCGGTTGTCCGCGTCGCTCGCGAGCAAACAAGTATCCCGACCAGTGCTTGCTACACGCCGGCCACTTCGTCGTGGGGTGAGTTCCTCTTCCGCGCCATTTTGGCTGCGCTGCGATCCCACTCGCCCTGTCGTGCTCGCGGCGGGCGCGGGTTCGGTTTCCGTCAAGTCTTACTTGCACGGCCAGGTTGGCGCATCGCTTGCACTCTTCCTGCGTGTTCTACGGTTTCGGCAAGGTTTCCGCTTGCCCGGAGAAGAGCCTGCTCGGCCTTCCGGCGGGACGCGGTCCCGCGTTACCGTTCCGGGTGGTGTCGCCCTCGGCCGCCTCTGAGTTCCGCCGGTTTCGGCGTATTCGTCAACAAATGGCATGGCCTGCCCCTGCTTGCCCGGCGTCCGACTTGATCCGTGCGCCTGCGTACCAAAGTATCCCGACCAGCCTCTCGCTTCGCTGTTTTTTCCTTTGCGTCGGCGCGGCCCGCCTTGGCTTGCACGGCGTTCGGCGCGTCTTCGCGCGCCCGCGTACCAAAAGTATCCTCACCAGCCCATCCAGAAACGATGCCCGTGAGAGTTGACGGGGGGAGAGAGAAAAGACACGCATAGTCAAACAGCGAGGGAGGTCGACCTGGACGGCGTGTTGAGGCCATCTCGGGGCCCGCGTGGTTTCTTGACGGTTTCCGGGGGAGGCTCCGTGGCCGTCTCGACCCGTCTTGGAGCGGTTCTGGGGCCTGTTGGAGCATTTTGGGGGCCATCTTGAGCCAGCGCGGGGTATCTTGAGCAATTTTGGAGGCCGCTCGGGGGCCTCTCGGGGGCCCCATTGGAGCCCTCTTGGGGCCTCTTGGGGCGTTCGTGGAGCCCTCTTGGGGGTCTCTAGGGGGCCCTGGAGGGCTTCTTGGGATCATCTTGGAGGCGGTCGTTCCAAAAAAAGAGGGGTCCTCGATGTCTGCCCCCACTCGGGAGCCGCGATCCTCGTGAAAGGTGTAAAAAAATTGTTCCCCCATTGGCCGGCAAAGAAGCGTCCGACACCTCGCGATCCTTCAAAAAAACTCGGGATGGGAAGGGAAAGGTCCCCCTCCCCGAAGGGAACAGGGGTTGTGGAAGACGCAAGAGACCCTCATTGGACCACCTGTCGCCAAGAGGGCAGGTGGGATTCACCGCCCACCACCAAACCACCCCAACCCACCCCAAAAACCCCGATTTGCCGTCCATTTCCAGTGAGGGGGGCGGGGAACATTTTGAAACAAAAACGTATGAAGTCCGCACCCCCCCAAGCCGAAATTCGGGTCCTCGGGTTGGCTTGGGGTGGTCTGGTAGATAGTCAGTTCTTTACTTAAGGTTCCTTTGGTCAATGTTCCGACGGTACCACAGCCGCCATGCACGAAGCGCGTTCCGGCATTATTTGGGTATGCGCCCCGCGTCTTCGACACTGGACGACGGCGGCCGCCAGGCTATCCAAGGGGCCCCGTGTTCCCTGGGGATCCCCGCTTCGCGCATTTGGGTGGGCATCGTTCACAGCAACATAAGTGTGTTGTTTCACGGAGGAGGAGGAGGAGGAGGAGGAGGAGGAGGAGGAGGAGGAGGAGGAGGAGGAGGAGGAGGAGGAGGAAGAGGAGGAGGAGAGGAGGGAGGAGGAAGAGGAGGAAGAGGAGGAGGAGGAGGAGGAGGAGGAAGAGGAGGGGGAGGGGGAGGAGGAGGAGGAGGAGGAGGAGGAGGAAGAGGAGGAGGAGGAGGCGGAGGAGGACGAGGACGAGGAGGAGGACGAGGAAGAGGACGAGGAAGAGGACGAGGAGGAGGAGGAGGAGCAGTGGGTCTCTTCGTCGCCGCGGCCAGAATCCCCTCGGCGTTTCTGGCCAGTGTGCGCCCCAGGGCAGGGCCCGATGCGGGGGCGAAGCTGTTGGTGGAGCTCCTGGGGCGGCTCATCCCCCGGGTCCTCCGGGCGCCGAGATTTCCTCGGCCCTCGCGGCGTCTTCCCAAACGTTTCATCCTCCAGTGCCGGGTCAGATCGGCGGTAGCAGAGCATACTGATAATTATTGTGTGTGCGTCGCCCCCCCAAGGGGCGACCCGCGCACCGAGGAGTCTTTGAGCGTACGCGTCGTGTCGGGCGCTCGCTGGCCACACCGATCGGGTAACGAGTTACTACAAGATGGGTATGCTGTGTGCTCGGGTCGGACGCGCGCCTCCGAGGAGGACATCCAGTACTAGACTGTCCCTGTGCATCCCATCAGGCGAAGGGGGAGGGCAGGGAGAGCCGAAGGACCGCAAACCGACGCACAAGCATAAGCGTCTCCGAAGCTCCGCGCAGGCTGCCGCGATCAGCGCGCGGAACCCCCCCTTCCCTGGCGCGCCGGGGGCAGCGCCGGAGGCGCCGCTGGGGGGGGTTGGCCAGCGCAGATCCAAGAAGCCCGTGCGGAGCTCCAAGAGTTTGTGCTCGTGTCGTTGTCTGCTCGTCCTCTAGACAAAGGGGGGGGGGGCTTCTCGGCGGCAGCGGGGGGGGAGGGGGGGGTCAGGCTCGGGGAGGACTGCATCGACCCCCAATCGCCCATTCTCATCGCCGATAGGGGCCCAATGGCCTGGGCGGGGCAGATGCGCTACCGGGGGCCTGTCGCCGGCCGTGTCGGCGAGGTGTCGCCGATTCCAGCACGGTGCTGCTGCCCCGGAGCGGGTCCCCCCCTGCCGTCGCCCATCGGGAAGGCGCTGGAGAAGTCAGCCGAGAGAGCCGATTCGCCGACCCCCTCGTTCGTCCGCCCGGACGGGGCAGTTGGGCTCAAGGCTTCGTTTAGCCAGGTACGTTTGATCTCCGATCGTCGTAGCTCCGTATAGCTGCCGATACCGAACAGCTTCGTATAGCTCCAATGACAATCATGTTCCAAGGTATGTTTCGAACAATGGCACAGCTTTGCGCAGTGGGGCTTGTAACTACTTGCGCTGAGCACGTGGACCTGCAGCTCATGCAGATACACACGGCCAGTCTCTCGCGTGGCAATGGGATCCGGCAGGGATGTCATACCTCAACCCACGGCGACGAGTGTTACGAGAAGGTGATGTGGGCGATGCGGACGGGCGTCAATTTACACCCAATGTGGTATCTCCCTCTGACGAGTAATTCCAGCTTCGAGGACTTCCAGCAGCACCTGCACGCCGTGGACAGGCTCTCTGACGTGTGTCCCAAGCCATGTGCAGCGGCGCAGTCAGAGGAGCGACCGGCAGAGCGGTTGCCCGCAGTGCCAGAGCAATGCCGCACCAGTGTCGAGGGCGACGAGTGCTACGAGAAGGTTGAGTGGGCAATGCGGACGGGCATCAAAAAGCACCCAGAATGGTATCTCCCTCTGACGAGTAATTCCAGCTTCGAGGACTTCCAGCAGCACCTGCACGCCGTGGACAGGCTCTCTGACGTATGTCCCAAGCCATGCGCAGCGGCGCAGTCAGAGGAGCGACCGGCAGAGCGGTTGCCAGGGCCAGAGCAATGCCGCACCAGTGTCGAGGGCGACGAGTGCTACGAAAAGGTTGAGTGGGCGATGCGGACTGGCATCAAAAAGCACCCAGAATGGTATCTCCCTCTGACGAGTACTTCCAGCTTCGAGGACTTCCAGCAACACCTGCACGGCGTGGACAAGTTCTCCGATGTTTGCCCCAAGCCTTGCTCTTGGCGGTCAGCAGACCAGCTCCGGATAAGTTCTGGATCCCCGATGCCTACAGCGCAGCATGTTGGAACTCCAATGCCAACAGAAATCCATGAGGATGACCTACTCATATCGGCCTACCCTGGATACGAGCAAACCGGTCGCAATTGCCAGTGTGGAGAACCAATATTACAGTTGTCAGAAGAGTTCGAGTCTCTCGAGTTGTGTGCCTCGGAGTGCTCATTGCTCCCCAACTGCAAGGCCTTCGGTCTCCACCCTTGGCAGTCGATCTGGCGAGGCCAGTGCGATCTCTACGATGCACCGTGTGGGGAAACGAACGGGCATGACTCCAACACCACCTGTACCAACCCAACCCCGCTTGGAGCCATCAGTGTCAATTTTAACCGAGTGCCGACGCCCGCGCCCACGCCTGCACCCACACCTGCACCAGACCGTTGCGATGTTACGGATGGATCGTTTCTGAGTTCTTTCTACCCGTGTCAGTGCGGGTCTGATGTGACGTGTGTCACAAACGAGGTTTGCTCAAAGGACAGGTCAGGCTATTCGTGCTCTCCTCCGGGCATTCTCAAGGTAGAATGGCCGTGTTTGACGACTTCGATTGGCAGCCCCTACTTTGTGTTTGCTGGGAGCAGCGTAACAGGAGCGCCAGTCTACAGCAACACCGATGGCAATTACATCTACTGGGACGTGTCGTGCGATGGCATCGAGCGACCTTTGCTATATCAGCAGCCGCGATGGATTCTCGACTCAGACTCACCAAATATGACAGCGACCATGGACTTAGATTCTGATTCGCAGTGCTCTTATCCAGCCGCCTGCGGCAAGTCCCACCCACCACCAAGCCATCCCAACATTCTCGTTGGCCGCTATTTCAGGTGGCACGATTATCCGTAACTTGTGACACTTCGTGTCTGCAACTTGTGGGGAACCGTGTTGATGATAATGGTGTTGATGGTGACGATGGTGATGATGGTGTTGATCATGATGATGATGAGGAGGAGGAGAATACTGATGCTATTGATGCGTATGATGGTGACGATGAAAGTAGCGATGGCGATGATGATGACGACGACGATGACGAATACGACGACAACGATGCTGCTCATGATGATGTTCATGACGACCATGACGATGGTGGCCATGAAGGCAATGATGACGATGATGATGACGACGATGATGATGATGATGATGCTGATGCTGATGCTGATGGTGATGGTGATGATGGTGTTGATGACGATGATACTGATGACGAGGACGAGGATGAGGATGCAGTTGAGGATGCTAATGAGGATGAGGATGACGACATGATGATAGTGATGATGATGATGATGATCACGATCATGATCAAACTCATGATGATGATGCTGATGGTGATGGTAATGATTATGATGATGGTGGTGGTGGCGATGATGAAAATGCTGAAACAACATAATAGTGATGCTGATGATGATGGTGGTGGTGCTGGTGACGACGATGTTGATGGTGTTGGTGATAATGACGACGCCAATGATGGTACTGATGCTGATGATGATGCTGCTGATGATGTTGATGATGATGATGGTGGCGGTGGCGGCGGTGGTGAAGATGTTGTGGATGATGATGGTGATGGTGATGATGGTCGCGATGGTGGTGATGATGCTGGCGATGGTCTCGATGTTGATGATGATGTTGGTGCTGATGGTGATGGTGCTGATGGTGATGATTATGATGATGGTGGTGGTGGCGATGAAGAACATTATGAAAATCATGCTGATAATGCTGATACTGATGGTGGTGGTGTTGGTGACGACACGGTTGATGGTGTTGATGATGATGACGACGCCAATGATGATAATGGTTATGATGTTGATGATGATGGCGATGGTGTTGATGATGGTGGCGGTGGCGGCGGTGGTGACGATGTTGTGGAAGATGATGGTGATGGTGATGATGGTCGCGATGGTGGTGATGATGGTGGTGATGGTCGCGATGTTGATGATGATGTTGGTGATGATGATGATGATGCTGATGATGCTGATGATGATGCTGCTGAAGCTGATGATGATGCTGATGCTGATGCTGATGATGGTGATGATGGTGAATATGATGATGTTGATGAAGATGATGATGATGATGATGATGATGATGATGATGATGATGCTGATGGTGTCGATGATGATGCTGATGATGATGGTGGTGATGATGATGATGATGATGATGATGGTGGTGCTGATGCTGATGCTGGTGATGATGATGATGACGATGCTGCTGATGATGATGCTGTTGATGCCGATGAATCCGATGATGCTGCTGTCGGTGGTGAGGAGGAGGAGGAGGAGCAGGAGGACGTGGAGGAGGCGCAATAACAGAACAGCAGTCACATTGTACACGTTCCGCCTTCACCATTCTGAGGATGTGTCACGACATTCGGTTGGACCGTTTTGTGGTTGCCTTGGCCTCCTGTGAGGCAGTCTTGGGGGGGCCTTTGGGGCCCCCATTGGGCCGTGTTTGTTGGCCCGCTCAGGCCGTGTTTGGGCTCCCTTGGGGGAAGTCTGGGGGGTTACCGTCAATGGGTTTTCCAAGGTTGCCTCGGGTCCCACGCGGGGCGCTCTTTGGGCCGTCGTGGGGTTGCCTTGGAGACCTCCTGGGCGTTCGCGGGGGTCCTCTTGGGCCTCAGTTGGGCCTTCGTGGGCATCGCTAGACGTGTGCATTTTTCCTTCGGCGAGGGCCATCGAGGAACATCCTTGACCATTTGGCGAAAAAAACACGCACGAAACCGAAACAAACACGAACAATGGACGTCCGAGCGATGGCGAGGGTACCTTGGGCTGTCAGGGGGCCATCACGGAGACGTCCTGAGCCGACGGAGGCCCGCAGAGGCAGGAGCACGACGTTCATGCACACGCCGAATGGAAATCAAGAGTGTTCGCCTCTTCGGGCTCTGCTAGAGGTCCTTTTGGGGCCCTCTTGGGGTCATCTTTGGGTCGTCTTGAGGCCATATTCGGCCACCGTTGGGGCCACTTTGGCCCGTCTTCGAAGCATCTCGGGCCGTCTTGGTTGCATTGGTTACCTGGGGCATCTTGGGACGCGGACGCGTCCTTGTCGTCATCAAGGATCGTGTCTTCGGGAGCGCGGATGCATCGTTGTTACGAGGGATCGTGGCCTCGGGGGCAGCAGGGGTGATGCATGCAATTGTCTGGTGGTAGAGGGGGGCTCACTTAAAACCAGGCAAAGCTGCACCTGGCATTCTAACACGCCCACATCGTGGCGGATTTTGGGCATCACGGTAGTTCTGAGTTCAGTGGTGTCCCTCTGGGGAGCACAATTTGGGCGGTGGCATGCGACGGTGAAGTTTCCAACATGACGGTGAACATCACTTACGAAACATATCTTCCCACCCCATCACCGACGTTGGAACCTGGGGCACCTTGCACTTGTGACCAGGCATGTAGCTTGTTTCCTTACCTTGACTTAGATGGTGATGGTTGCCTAGTTGAGGCAGAAGTGAACAAAGATGAGAGTCTCAGCGGGCATTTTGCCGAGATCGACACGGACGGGGACGGCTGCGTCACCCAGACAGAGTGCGGGGATTCGCCGTATTCGAGTGGTATGCTCAGGTTCCCAATCCAGGGCCCAGCTGAATGCAGCTACGGATACTATTTCATGGACGGCACCAGCGTCTGCCAGCAATGCACCGACGGTGCCACGCGGCGGCGTCGCTCAGAGGCCTGCAGCAACTGCCCCGGGGACAAAGAGGACGTGGGCGACTTCGACAACTGCATCTCGGGGGTGTGGCTCACTGAACCCCTCGCGGTCGGGTCCCGCGTTGCCTTCGTCAACAAGGACATAGACGAGAGCGGAGTATTGTTGCAGAAGGGCGATGGGATCACCATGTCGACGCGAAACCCTGGCCACTTCGAGAGAATGATCATCGTCGACAAGGTTGGTTTCAATGATACCCAAAGGCTCTCGTCACACCATGAGTCCCTGCTCCGTACGAGTGGGCCTTTTTTCGTGCTGGACCATGGGGTGCACGCGCCCTTCGTCAAGTTCGACGCGATCGTCTCTGCCTGCACAGATGTCAGTGGAATAGCGCTCAGCGGACAGTACCCATGCGGATGCGGCATCGAAATCTGCGATTTCGGGTACAGGTGTGACGAGGAGTGCGGTGGGAACAACACGGTCCTCGATTCCTACGCGGGCAGCGGCTACGGGAACGGCGGATGTTGCCTCGGCCCCCCTGTCTCTCCTCTGCCCACCCCGGCCCCGACGGTGTCGGCCAGGGGTGACCCGCACTTGGTCAACCTTCAAGGCGAGCATTTCGACGTTAACCACGGCGGCGAGTTCACATTGCTCCGGATCCCGCAGGCCGCCGACAGGACCGCCGAGGTGCAACTTCGGGCAACGATCCGACCCGAGTACGGGAAGCCATGCACCACGTACATCACCGCGGTTGAGCTCTCGGGCACGTGGATCGGTGAGGCGGTCGTGCAGGTGCGGTCCTACCTCAGGTCACACACCAAGAATGGAAGCGACGATTTCTTGGGGCTCCGGGTGCTGGAGCCAGGCGCGCCAGAAGATGTTCCGTGGACGAGTCTCGCGGATTGGACCGATGGGAACATCCGTCTCTCCGAGCAGCAGGCAGAGGAAGGCGTCAGGGTGACAATGTCCAAGTCACAGTGGCGCACCAAAAAGAGCGTGAAGGAAGGATTGCCGACCGTAGCCGGACAGATTCAGATCACAATGCAAAGCAAGGTGAGTGAAGATTCCGCGACGATTGTCGTCCGCCAAGACCTCCCCATGCAGGAGCACCTGAATTTGGCTGTACGGCGTTTGAGCGCACTCGGTCGTGCAGACATTGGCGGACTTCTTGGGTTCGATGCGCATGCCGAGTCGCTAGAGGATGTCACGCCAGAGTGCCAGCGTCACAGGGATGGATTGGACACGAACGAAGGCCCGCACTCAACACCACGCTGGAAGATTCGTTGGCAGAAGATCAAGGAGCAGCGCGCGAGCAGTCCCGTACCAGGTGGGTCGATGAACGACAACGAAGCGGCTGCCAACCTGATAGGAGGCCATGATATGCGAATGCAAGAGAAGGACATGATGTGCGTCTGCCCCAATGGAGGCTCCATGCATCCCACAGGGGACGATGACGCCGCGAATCTGATAGGTGGCAGACGCCAGGGCGTCCTTGCAAAGTTCCAGACTGGTAGGTTTGCGGAGGCAACGTGGGACTGATGAGCACGCGTCGAATTGGCTAGCGCGATCGCCGGCATCTATCCGCGCAGCGACCTAGGGCTTGTTCGCCGCGCCTGCAGAGCGGCGCCCCGCAGGCCTCGCTACGTTGATGCAGGTCGCGAGAGGCGGCGGGGATCTGGTTGGAGGCTACGGCGGGGGCAGGCGGAGATGGAGGAGAGAGAGATCAGTCTTTTCGCAATTACGTCATTTCACCGCGGGACTTTTGCGGATGAGCTCACACACCAGATTGAGGTTTGCGAGGTCTTTGGCCGAGTGCGTCGCAAGCGGCAATGCTTCAATGCAGCTCGGTAACTGGAGGTGGCAGAGGTTGGTTAGAGATCACGGGGGGAGTGGTGGAGGCGTATTCACGCACGCACTTTTGGCTTTTGATCCGTTGAGGTTTCTCCGGAAGGCTTGTGCGCGCTCGATTCCCTCGGCTCCACAATGTGTTCACTAACACGCTTTGGAGCTTCTTGTCTCATGCGCGCACGCGCGCAGCGGGAGCAGCACGTCGATTGGACGTACCTGCTGCCGATCGGCCAGGCCGCGCAAGGGTGAGCGGATGCCTCGGCGTCGGAGGCCTGGCGTGGAGTTCCAGAATCCTCACGGCATCGCGAAGGAGCAGTCGCGCATGCGTCTCCGTTCTCCATCGGTGGCGCGCCGGGGGGGGGGGGGGGGGAAGGCGAGAGGGGGCAGGCCTGCTCCGAGGCGAGGCGGGGCTTCCGAGAGAAGCCCTCCGGCCCTCCGCGCCCGCCCTCTCCGCCTTCCCGCCTGGGCGCGCCGCCCGCCCCGGCCCACGGTGGTGTCGCGGGAGAGTCCTTCGGGTCTTTCCTCCGCTGCTTGGGCGTCGGGGCGGCGGCCTCAGGTCCAGGGGCCTGCGACGAGCGGCCCGCGGCGACAGACCAGCCACTGGGACGGGGGATCCACGCCGTCAAGAAGGCACGATGTCTCCGGGCCTCCACAGATGGAGTCGGAGCAGATGAGGTCGGAGGATCGCGCCGCGTCGCCGATGCATCGGCGATGCGGCTCGATGTGGGGCCCAGCTTTCTCCACGCCGACGTCGCCGATGCATCGCCGACGTCGCCGAGGCATCGCTGTGTCTCATCGGCGATGCGGCGCGATCCTCCGACCCCATCTGCTCTGACCCCGTCTGAGAGGCCTCCAATGCCACGCAACCACCATCTGGAAGGGGAGGCAGGGGAGGGTCGACCGAGGTTCAAGCGGCATGGCGCCCCTGGCTTGGCGCTCGGAGCGCGCCAGGGGCGGCGCCGGGGGCGCCGCCAGAGGGGCCCAGCACAGATCCAAGAAATCCGCGCGGAGCTCCAGAAGTTGATGTTTGTGTTTTTTCGTCCTGTAGAAAGGAGAGTTTATCGGGGGCTGAGGGAGGACTGCGTCGACGCCCAATCGCCCATTCATCGCCGATAGGGGCCCAATAGCCTGCCCCGCGAAGGACCGTCGGATTCGCTCAAGCAGTGGCGAAGCGTCCTGGCTCGCCTATAGGCCCACCATAGAATGTTCTAAGAACCTTTCGTGGTCTGCACGAAATGCGCTTAGAACATTTCTGGCCGAGACTATCTTGTCTTAACTCGTCGGGCGAATTCATGTTATAAGAGCATTGCCCTTGTTCTCTGAACACTTCTTGGTTCTAGGAACATGTCGTGGTAGGCCAACAGGAATGCGGGGACCGTCGATCCCTGCTCAAATCATCGGGAGCCTATCGCCGGCCTGTCGGCGAGGATTATCGCCGATTCCAGCACGGTGCTGCTGCCCCGGAGCCGGTCCCCCCCCTGCCGTTGCCCATCGAGAAGGCGCTGGAGAAGTCAGCTGAGAGAGCCGATTCGCCGACCCCCTCGTTCGTCCGCCCGCACGGGGCATTTGGACTCAAGGCTTCGTTTCGCCAGGTACGTTTGATCTCCGATCGTCGTAGCTCCGTATAGCTGCCGATACCGAATAGCTTCGTATAGCTTCAATGACAATCATGCTCCAAGGTATGTTTCGAACAATGGCACAGCTCTGCGCAGTGGGGCTTGTAACTACTTGCGCTGAGCACGTGGACCTGCAGCTCATGCAGATACACACGGCCAGTCTCTCGCGTGGCAATGGGATCCGGCAGGGATGTCATACCTCAACCCACGGCGACGAGTGCTACGAGAAGGTGATGTGGGCGATGCGGACGGGCGTCAATTTACACCCAATGTGGTATCTCCCTCTGACGAGTAATTCCAGCTTCGAGGACTTCCAGCAGCACCTGCACGCCGTGGACAGGCTCTCTGACGTGTGTCCCAAGCCATGCGCAGCGGCGCAGTCAGAGGAGCGACCGGCAGAGCGGTTGCCCGCAGTGCCAGAGCAATGCCGCACCAGTGTCGAGGGCGACGAGTGCTACGAGAAGGTTGAGTGGGCAATGCGGACGGGCATCAAAAAGCACCCAGACTGGTATCTCCCTCTGACGAGTAATTCCAGCTTCGAGGACTTCCAGCAGCACCTGCACGCCGTGGACAGGCTCTCTGACGTATGTCCCAAGCCATGCGCAGCGGCGCAGTCAGAGGAGCGACCAGCAGAGCGGTTGCCAGGGCCAGAGGAATGCCGCACTAGTGTCGAGGGCGACGAGTGCTACGAAAAGGTTAAGTGGGCGATGCGGACTGGCATCAAAAAGCACCCAGAATGGTATCTCCCTCTGACGAGTACTTCCAGCTTCGAGGACTTCCAGCAACACCTGCACGGCGTGGACAAGTTCTCCGATGTTTGCCCCAAGCCTTGCTCTTGGCGGTCAGCAGACCAGCTCCGGATAAGTTCTGGATCCCCGATGCCTACAGCTCAATATATCGGAACTCCGATGCCTACAGCGCAGCATGTTGGAACTCCAATGCCAACAGAAATCCATGAGGATGACCTACTCATATCGGCCTACCCTGGATACGAGCAAACCGGTCGCAATTGCCAGTGTGGAGAACCAATATTACAGCTGTCAGAAGAGTTCGAGTCTCTCGAGTTGTGTGCCTCGGAGTGTTCATTGCTCCCCAACTGCAAGGCCTTCGGTCTTCACCCTTGGCAGTCGATCTGGCGAGGCCAGTGCGATCTCTACGATGCACCGTGTGGGGAAACGAACGGGCATGACTCCAACACCACCTGTACCAACCCAACCCCGCTTGGAGCCATCAGTGTCAATTTTAACCGAGTGCCGACGCCCGCGCCCACGCCTGCACCCACACCTGCACCAGACCGTTGCGATGTTACGGATGGATCGTTTCTGAGTTCTTTCTACCCGTGTCAGTGCGGGTCTGATGTGACGTGTGTCACAAACCAGGTTTGCTCAAAGGACAGGTCAGGCTATTCGTGCTCTCCTCCGGGCATTCTCAAGGTAGAATGGCCGTGTTTGACGACTTCGATCGGCAGCCCCTACTTTGTGTTTGTTGGGAGCAGCGTAACAGGAGCGCCAGTCTACAGCAACACCGATGGCAATTACATATACTGGGACGTGTCGTGCGATGGCATCGAGCGACCTTTGCTATATCAGCAGCCGCGATGGATTCTCGACTCAGACTCACCAAATATGACAGCGACCATGGACTTAGATTCTGATTCGCAGTGCTCTTATCCAGCCGCCTGCGGCAAGTCCCACCACCGAGCCATCCCAACATTCTCGTTGGCCGCTATTTCAGGTGGCACGATTATCCGTCACTTGTGACACTTCGTGTCTGCAACTTGTGGGGAGCCGTGTTGATGATAATGGTGTTGATGGTGACGATGGTGATGATGGTGATGATGGTGTTGATCATGATGATGATGAGGAGGAGGAGAATACTGATGCTATTGATGCGTATGATGGTGACGATGAAGGTAGCGATGGCGATGATGATGACGACGACGATGACGAATACGATGACAACGACGCTGCTTATGATGATGTTCATGACGACCATGACGATGATGGCCATGAAGGCAATGATGACGATGATGATGATGACGATGACGATGGTGATGATGATGATGATGATGCTGATGGTGATGGTGATGCTGATGACGATGATACTGATGACGAGGACGAGGATGAGGATGCAGTTGAGGATGCTAATGATGATGAGGATGACGACATGATGATAGTGATGATGATGATGATCACGATCATGATCAAACTCATGATGGTGATGCTGATGGTGATGGTAATGATTATGATGATGGTGGTGGTGGCGATGATGAAAATGCTGAAAAAAACATAATAATGATGCTGATGATGATGGTGGTGGTGCTGGTGACGACGATGTTGATGGTGTTGGTGATAATGACGACGCCAATGATGATACTGATGCTGATGATGCTGCTGATGATGTTGATGATGATGATGGTGGCGGTGGCGGCGGTGGTGACGATGTTGTGGATGATGATGGTGATGGTGATGATGGTCGCGATGGTGGTGATGATGATGGCGATGGTCTCGATGCTGATGATGATGTTGGTGCTGATGGTGATGGTGCTGATGGTGATGCGTATGATGATGGTGGTGGTGGTGGCGATGAAGAACAATATGAACATCATACTGATGACGCTGATACTGATGATGGGTGTGCTGGTGACGACAATGTTGATGGTGTTGATGATGCTGACGACGCCAATGATGATACCGATGCTGATGATGATGATGATGATGATGATGATGATGATAATGATGGCGATGGTGATGATGATGGTGGTGGTGGCGGCGGTGGTGACGATGTTGTGGAAGATGATGGTGATGGTGATGATGGTCGCGATGGTGGTGATGATGGTGGTGATGGTCGCGATGCTGATGATGATGATGTTGGTGATGATGATGATGCTGATGATGTTGATGATGATGATGCTGATGCTGATGATGATGATGCTGATGCTGATGCTGATGATGTTGATGATGGTGAATATGATGATGTTGATGATGATGATGGTGGTGATGATGACGCTGATGATGGTGCTGGTGGTGGTGGTGGTGATGATGGTGGTGCTGATGCTGATGCTGGTGATGATGACGATGACGATGCTGATGATGATGTTGATGCCGATGAATCCGATGATGATGCTGTCGGTGATGAGGAGGAGGAGGAGCAGGAGGACGTGGAGGAGGCGCAATAACAGAACAGCAGTCACATTGTACACGTTCCGTCTTCACCATTCTGAGGATGTGTCACGACATTCGGTTGGACCGTTTTGTGGTTGCCTTGGCCTCCTGTGAGGCAGTCTGGGGGGGGCCTTTGGGGCCCCCCATTGGGCCGTGTTTGTTGGCCCGCTCAGGCCGTGTTTGGGCTCCCTTGGGGGAAGTCTGGGGGGTTACCGTCAATGGGTTTTCCAAGGCTGCCTCGGGTCCCACGCGGGGCGCTCTTTGGGCCGTCGTGGGGTTGCCTTGGAGACCTCCTGGGCGTTCGCGGGGGTCCTCTTGGGCCACAGTTGGGCCTTCGTGGGCATCGCTAGACGTGTGCATGTTTCCTTCGGCGAGGGCCATCGAGGAACATCCTTGACCATTTGGCGAAAAAAACCACGCACACAACCGAAACAAACACAAACAATGGACGTCCGAGCGACGGCGAGGGTACCCTGGGCTGTCAGGGGGCCATCACGGAGACGTCCTGAGCCGACGGAGGCCCGCAGAGGCAGGAGCACGACGTTCATGCACACGCCGAATGGAAATCAAGGGTGTTCGCCTCTTCGGGCTCTGCTAGAGGTCCTCTTGGGGCCCTCTTGGGGTCACCTTTGGGTCGTCTTGAGGCCACATTCGGCCACCGTTGGGGCCACTTTGGCCCGTCTTCGAAGCATCTCGGGCCGTCTTGGTTGCATTGGTTACTTGGGCCATCTTGGGACACGGACGCGTCCTTGTCGTCATCAAGGATCGTGTCTTCGGGAGCGCGGATGCATCGTTGTTACGAGGGATCGTGGCCTCGGGGGCAGGGGTGATGCATGCAATTGTCTGGTGGTAGAGGGGGGCTCACTTAAAACCAGGCAAAGCTGCACCTGGCATTCTAACACGCCCACATCGTGCAGGCACTGTGGCGGATTTTGGGCATCACGGTAGTTCTGAGTTCAGTGGTGTCCCTCTGGGGAGCACAATTTGGGCGGTGGCATGCGACGGTGAAGTTTCCAACATGACGGTGAACATCACTTACGAAACATATCTTCCCACCCCATCACCGACGTTGGAACCCGGGGCACCTTGCACTTGTGACCAGGCATGTAGCTTGTTTCCTTACCTTGACTTAGATGGTGATGGTTGCCTAGTTGAGGCAGAAGTGAACAAAGATGAGAGTCTCAGCGGGCATTTTGCCGAGATCGACACGGACGGGGACGGCTGCGTCACCCAGACAGAGTGCGGGGATTCGCCGTATTCGAGTGGTATGCTCAGGTTCCCAATCCAGGGCCCAGCTGAATGCAGCTACGGATACTATTTCATGGACGGCACCAGCGTCTGCCAGCAATGCACCGACGGTGCCACGCGGCGGCGTCGCTCAGAGGCCTGCAGCAACTGCCCCGGGGACAAAGAGGACGTGGGCGACTTCGACAACTGCATCTCGGGGGTGTGGCTCACTGAACCCCTCGCGGTCGGGTCCCGCGTTGCCTTCGTCAACAAGGACATAGACGAGAGCGGAGTATTGTTGCAGAAGGGCGATGGGATCACCATGTCGACGCGAAACCCTGGCCACTTCGAGAGAATGATCATCGTCGACAAGGTTGGTTTCAATGATACCCAAAGGCTCTCGTCACACCATGAGTCCCTGCTCCGTACGAGTGGGCCTTTTTTCGTGCTGGACCACGGGGTGCACGCGCCCTTCGTCAAGTTCGACGCGATCGTCTCTGCCTGCACAGACGTCAGTGGAATGTCGCTCAGCGGACAGTACCCATGCGGATGCGGCATCGAAATCTGCGATTTCGGGTACAGGTGTGACGAGGAGTGCGGTGGGAACAACACGGTCCTCGATTCCTACGCGGGCAGCGGCTACGGGAACGGCGGATGTTGCCTCGGCCCCCCTGTCTCTCCTCTGCCCACCCCGGCCCCGACGGTGTCGGCCAGGGGTGACCCGCACTTGGTCAACCTTCAAGGCGAGCATTTCGACGTTAACCACGGCGGCGAGTTCACATTGCTCCGGATCCCGCAGGCCGCCGACAGGACCGCCGAGGTGCAACTTCGGGCAACGATCCGACCCGAGTACGGGAAGCCATGCACCACGTACATCACCGCGGTTGAGCTCTCGGGCACGTGGATCGGTGAGGCGGTCGTGCAGGTGCGGTCCTACCTCAGGTCACACACCAAGAATGGAAGCGACGATTTCTTGGGGCTCCGGGTGCTGGAGCCAGGCGCGCCAGAAGATGTTCCGTGGACGAGTCTCGCGGATTGGACCGATGGGAACATCCGTCTCTCCGAGCAGCAGGCAGAGGAAGGCGTCAGGGTGACAATGTCCAAGTCACAGTGGCGCACCAAAAAGAGCGTGAAGGAAGGATTGCCGACCGTAGCCGGACAGATTCAGATCACAATGCAAAGCAAGGTGAGTGAAGATTCCGCGACGATTGTCGTCCGCCAAGACCTCCCCATGCAGGAGCACCTGAATTTGGCTGTACGGCGTTTGAGCGCACTCGGTCGTGCAGACATTGGCGGACTTCTTGGGTTCGATGCGCATGCCGAGTCGCTAGAGGATGTCACGCCAGAGTGCCAGCGTCACAGGGATGGATTGGACACGAACGAAGGTCCGCACTCAACACCACGCTGGAAGATTCGTTGGCAGAAGATCAAGGAGCAGCGCGCGAGCAGTCCCGTACCAGGTGGGTCGATGAACGACAACGAAGCGGCTGCCAACCTGATAGGAGGCCATGATATGCGAATGCAAGAGAAGGACATGATGTGCGTCTGCCCCAATGGAGGCTCCATGCATCCCACAGGGGACGATGACGCCGCGAATCTGATAGGTGGCAGACGCCAAGGCGTCCTTGCAAAGTTCCAGACTGGTAGGTTTGCGGAGGCAACGTGGGACTGATGAGCACGCGTCGAATTGGCTGGCGCGATCGCCGGCATCTATCCGCGCAGCGACCTAGGGCTTGTTCGCCGCGCCTGCAGAGCGGCGCCCCGCAGGCCTCGCTACGTTGATGCAGGTCGCGAGAGGCGGCGGGGGATCTGGTTGGAGGCTACGGCGGGGGCAGGCGGAGATGGAGGAGAGAGAGATCAGTCTTTTCGCAATTACGTCATTTCACCGCAGGACTTTTGCGGATGAGCTCACACACCAGATTGAGGAAAGCGAGGTCTCTGGCCGAGTGCGTCGCAAGCGGCAATGCTTCAATGCAGCTCGGTAACTGGAGGTGGCAGAGGTTGGTTAGAGATCACGGGGGGAGTGGTGGAGGCGTATTCACGCACGCACTTTTGGCTTTTGATCCGTTGAGGTTTCTCCGGAAGGCTTGTGCGCGCTCGATCCCCTCGGCTCCACAATGTGTTCACTAACACGCTTTGGAGCTATTTGTCTCATGCGCGCACGCGCGCAGCGGGAGCAGCACGTCGATTGGACGTACCTGTTGCCGATCGGCCTGGCCGCGCAAGGGTGAGCGAATACCTCGGCGTCGGAGGCCTGCTGGTGTCGCGGAAGAGTCCTGCTGATCTTTCCTCCGCTGCTTGGGCGTCGGGGCGGCGGCCTCAGGTCCAGGGGCCTGCGACGGGCGGCCCGCGGCGACAAGCCAGCCACTGGGACGGGGGATCCACACCGTCAAGAAGGCACGATGTCTCTGGGCCTCCACCCATGGAGTCGGAGCAGATGAGGTCGGAGGATCGCGCCGCGTCGCCGATGCATCGGCGATGCGGCTCGATGTGGGGCCCAGCTTTCTCCACGCCGACGTCGCCGATGCATCGCCGACGTCGCCGAGGCATCGCTGTGTCTCATCGGCGATGCGGCGCGATCCTCCGACCCCATCTGCTCTGACCCCGTCTGAGAGGCCTCCAATGCCACGCAACCACCATCTGGAAGGGGAGACAGGGGAGGGTAGACCGAGGTTCAAGCGGCATGGCTGTACGTTCTGGTACCCGCCCGCGGCCACGGTCGACTCGAGCCCCCAAAGGGCGACTCCCATCTTCTCACGAAGTCGGATCGGACAGGATCGGCTCGACGCTGCAAGCAGTGCGTCCGAACTGTGAATGAGCCCAGCTTCTGGACGGCTGTGCGGTGTGGCGGCCGTCGGGATGCGGAGGGCCTGGCCCCTCCCCCCTTGGCGTGGCACTGGCTCGGCTCCTCCCCTTGCGGCACTCCCCCCGGGCTCCTGCCGCGAAGCGTGCAGCGCTTCGAGTGCGGGGGGGGGGGGGGCCCGCCTCGCGGTCGGGGGCAACGTCGAGGGGGGATACTCCAGATTCCATCATAAAGTAGGGGGGGTCACATTTGGCGGGGGGGCCTGGGGGGGGTCTAAAACTTCTCGCCTGGGAGGGTTGCGACCCCCTCCCTTTTGTTACGAAATCTGGAGCAGGCTCGGAGGGGTGCATCGATCCCTGGCCGCCCATCCCTCGCCGCAGGGGCCCCAGTGCGGGGCCTGCCTGCGGGGACCAGTCGCCGACGCCAGCCCGATGAGCCGTCTCCGGAGCTGGTCGTGGGCGGGGGCGCGCTCGGCGCTGGCGCCGGCCCCGAGCAGGAGAGTCAGGTCTTGCGCCCACCAGGAAACAAAACCGAAGCTCCGACAAAATATTTTTGCATCTTTTTGAGATTTGTTTTGGCGGCGCCGAAGGATGGCGCTCTCCGAGAGCGCCTGCCGCGGCCCAGACCTCCGGCGATCTGATGCTCGGCCTGGGCGTGCAGTGCCACGGCCTCGGCCTCCGGGGGCCCGACATGTCGGGCCCCGGGGGCCGCCGGCCGGACGGACCGCGGGGCGGAGAGCGGGCCCCAGCGGAGGTCGGAGGTGGGCAGACCTGCGGGGGCGGCAAAGAGGGGGGTGACGACCCTGACCTTCCAGAGTGCTAAAAAATAGCACTCCAGACCTATAGATCCATCTGGACTGCCTCAAACCTCGACAGGGATTAGGACGTCGACGTCCTGGTGTTATTTTTTAGCCCTCCTGGAAGGTCAGGGGACTAGGGGGGGGGGATATCATGGCGGGGGCCAGGATATTTCCTCAGATCTCATGGCGCCTCTTCCTGCTCCGTGACGTCCCTGGCCCCCCCGCTGGGCCGCGCACACGCCGCCGGCCATGATTTGCACCCCGCCCTCTTGGACCCCCCCCTCCTTGCCGCCCCCGAGACCTCCTACAGTCGGGGCGCTGAAGAAGGAACCCTTCTCGTTGGGGAGGGGCTCGGTGTTCCTGGATTGTTCTACAGCTTGCCTCAGGTTTTCATGAGGTTTCCCATGGGAGATCGAAGTGTAACTTCTGGGAAAAAGGGGGCCTCGTTCCTTATTTAGGGTTCCTTAGGTCAACGCCCCGACCGTACCCTGACACGTCGATTAGCGAATTGGCCGTTTTCGGTTCGCGAGAGGGCGTCGCGGCCGTCATTTTTGCGGGTCCAGGTCCGTCGGTTTCGGTCCCAGGCCGTTTTCACTGAGGGGAGGTTTACCAAAGGGAGGCTTGTCTGCCGCCGAGAAGGGGTCAGGGCCTCCTGGGGGCCGCGCATGCAAAGGGCAATTTGAGGCCGCGCTCGGTGCCCGCTGCGCTGGCCCTCCAAGCTGCCCTCGGAAGTGGCAGCAGTTTCGCACGACGACAGCCCCCAGGGATGGCTAGGTCTGATTTGAGTCTGCGCTCGGTGCTCACCACCTTGTCCCTCCAAGCATCGCACTTGCAGTTCGCAGCCCCTCAGAGCATCAAGCGCGCACATTCCGAAAATGTGGGCAGGTGCAGGATGCGACGACCGTGTCGACACGCTGGCGTTGAGAGGCAATGTTGTCATTTCAACGCGGACAGACGAGAACTCAAAACAATCCCGATTGGCTTTGGGGCTCTCCGTAACAATTCAGAGGTTGAGTCGCGCATCTTCCCCCAGATGCACGTTTCGGACTGTTGAACTCGTCGGCAGGTCAGCGCGGTGCGATGACCAAGCTGTGGTGAAGCGCTGGTAGATCTCGACGACAGAGGGGTCGTTCGGATTTTTTGTCAATGCTAAGCTGACATGCTTTCCGGCCGGATTTCCCCGCGCTTGTCACACATTGGTTCATGATGTGCGCGCCCGGCGACGCGCATTTGTCTCACCGATCCACCGCGGGCCAGATCCCGTGAGGCAAACAAGCGAGAGCACCTGCCTCGCAGCAAGCATGCGGGCCGACATACGCGAGCACGTAGTATTTCGGGGGGTCTCTGATACACTGTCTCTCCTCTCCGGTCCCTGGGGGCCTCTCTAGAGCGGCCTTGCGAGCGCCTGCGAGGGGACGCTGCTTCCTCGCCGCATTCGTGGTCCACGCTGGGCTTCTCGATGGCACTTTGGAAGTACCCTCGGCGCGCCCAACGAACCTGACGGTTTTGCGTCCGTGCCGCCTTTTGCCTGCGGAGCTCAGTGCCCTGGCGCGAACGAGCCAACGACCCATCTCACAAGACACGCTGCTGACATGGTCAGCGGCCTCAAGCACGAGCGCTCTAGCGATGGTCTCGCGGGCTTGATTGTTTGCTTTATGGCCAAGAGTTAAAATTCTTAGCCCCTCGGTCTAATTTAGGCCGATGTATCTGCGCTTCGTACCTTTACGCCGCCCGACCTTCTCGCCGCGGTCGCGATCAAGAAAGTACCCCCACCAGTTCATCCAGGAACGATGCCCAAGGGAGCTGCCCTTGTTGGGGGAGCGCGGCATCATTCGGAGAGCCCGGGGAGCGTCCGTGGGCTAGAGCGCCTGGAGATCTCCTGGCGGCTCCTCGGGTTGGGACATTTTAGGGGGCCTCTTGATGGTCTACAGGGCCTCTTGGGATCCTCGTGGGGGCATCTTGAGGGGCCCCGTAGCCATTTTGGCTCAAGTCCGTAGCGGGATGCTCGAAGGATTTGAGTTGGCAAGGGGAGGCGCGCCTCCGCCAGTGACCCCTGTGCCCGCCAGCACAGGCCTTGTGTATTGCTACAGTTCTCTGAACGTTTTTCTCTGTCCCTCTCGGCCGCAACCGTTTCTCGCTCAAGTCTTTTTGAGGGCGGCGACGCCTGAGGTGACCGACCTTGAGAGTCTAAGCTGGCCTTGTGGGGCCACCAAGTTGACCACGCCTTCCATCCCGCCCATAGCCTCGTCGGTTCGCGTGCGCAGTGCAGAACAGTGACCTTGGTCGATGCTCAGACACGGTATCGGTACGTTCGCGTTTGGACTGGCAGTTGGTGTGACGTTAGGCTCTATTGCATGGTGGCGCCTCGCTGGATCTTCCAAACATATATATGCGCCCAGGCGACGAGGGGTTGTTCGTCACGGCACAGATCGCAGCATGTGGCACCAGCATATGTTGGTCATGTGTTGCATCGCGTCCGCCAAGTCTTGCGTGATGGGTGCGACCTTCAGCAAGCCAGGAGCGGCGATCATGTGGGATATGACTCCGACAGGAAACATATACCCGGAGAAGCTGAACGTGCGAGTGCTGCTCGGCGCTGCGCCGTGCGACCACAAGGGAGCCCCGATCCTCGATCAGTGACTGAGCTTGCAGTCGCACTGTGGACAGAAATTTCGGCACGTCCAGCACGAGGGAGCTCGAGCAGTGGGTCGGGCTCAAAATCAGGATCGATCGAGGCCACTTCGGGACGTGGACACCGACGATGGCAACGATAGGCTGGTGCGGGCCACGGAGAGAGGCTGTGCATTGACTGGGGACCAGACATCCGAGGTCATTGACGTGCCGCCTCTCACGCCCTCCGGCTTGCCAGTCGACGAGAGTCGCTCGATGAAGGTGGTGGGGACTCTGCCTGCCATGTGTGGGCGATGCCGCCTGCCAGCATATGATCATCGTTGGTGTGACGCCAGTGGGCCTAGCATCGTGCCTATCGACTATCATATAGGTCAGGCTGTGGTCCTTGGCCCGCCATTCGGGGCGATGCAGCAGTGTGAACAGCTCGAGCTGATCATAG